AGGGGGGTAGGGCGAGCCGCACCCCGGTGAAACACAACAAGAGGAAGCCTAGAGTAGCATCAGATCAAAGTGATTCAGAGAATTATAAAAGCTACAAGAGCAATATTAAACATAAACAAGGAATAAGGGAAAAGAGAGAAAGATATGTACCATCATACAGCCTTGATGATAGCGAAATATACATTGATTACAAGGGACACAACCACCAGAAAAGAAAAGGGAAAGCATCCTCAAGTGAAGCCACAGAGTCTGACCTGGAGGAACACAGATCTACAAGATCACATCATAAAGAATGGTCAGAGGATATAGAGTGGACTGAGGATGAAGAGGAATACACCCCCAGACATTACAACAAAAAGATCAACAGTCCTAAGAAGAGAAAACCAGTCACTCACACACTGCCTAGGGCCAGCTACTCAAGAAAACACAGGGAGTACAGTCCAAGAGTGGTCAAATCTGACCACCACTTTGCTTCACACAAATCCAGAACCAAGTCTCACTCACATGTTGATAAGCCACAAAGAAAAAAACAGCCACGGCAACATAGCTCAGGACAAGATTCAAGGGAAAGATTATATACACACCAGAATCATGGATCAAGGGAGAAAAGAAATACAAGACATCAAGAAAATGGATCAAGGGAGAGAATAAATACCAAATACCATGTGTCAAGGGAGAGAATTAACAATGAAGATCAGTATGAAACGTACGAGAGTGAAGTAGATTTCTACAGCAGCTCTGATGACGACAGTCTCAAATCAGCAGAGTACCACATCCAGAGAAGGGACACAACTCAACACAACATTACACATGGGCCTGTGGACAGCAGGAGGCTACACCACACCGAACATCCCCACTACGATGATTCCAGTGTGGAGGATTTCATTGACTACGTCGACGTTCCCGACAACAGGTTAAAAATAAAAGGCGAATCAATCCAAGGGATTCCTCACAAGCAAATGAAAATTTTGACCTCACAGTTTGATCATGTCTTATCCACCAATGAGCACCAAGAAAACTCAACTCCTCAACTTCCCAGTCACCATGGCAACAATGTAAACAACACCGGTCTCAACTCAGAAAATCACAAGAAATTTGACAACAACTTTACCATGAAGAAAAAACCCAACCAGCTATTGAGTCGAAGCTTGGATTCTTTACTAGACACCAACACCGATCAGACATTTTCTAACCAAGGACAAGTAAACCCACACATGACTGGAGAGAATGGAACTTTTCCACAAAAGAAGGGGGATGCCAAGTCAGACAACTCTGGAGTGATCAAACCCTCTGCTGGGACAGATTACACACTACTAGGGGTGTGTAATCAGATAGAAACACTCCTGAACAAGAACCTGCTACAGCCTGTCATTGGCTACAGCAACAACAGGGGTCAAAGGTCAGTATTATGTTTGATAATCAATAAACAAAGAAAAAAAAAGCATCGTTAAAAAAAAGCTCACCTATCTATTCTTATTTATATATATATATATATACTAGATAAATGGCCCGTTGAGGAAGGGTACAACGGGCGCTAGGCTGATAGTGCTGTCTCTTTTCTCTAAACTAAAACCATCCCACCCCCCCCCCCCCCCCACACACCCCCACCCCCCCCACCCCACACACACCACCCCCCACCCCCCACCCCCACACACACCTCCACCCCCCACACACCACCCACCCCCACCCCCACCCCCACCACCCCCACCCCCCACACACCTCCCCCCACCCACCCCCACCCACCCACCCCCACCCCCCAAAAAAACATGTCTACCGTCCCATTCAACGAAATATAATTATATACTTTTTCCAGTGTCCGCCCCCTTCCCGAAAATTCTACCCCCGCCCCCGAAAACCTCAAGTACCCCCTGCCCCTCTCCGGGGAGGAAAAAGTCTGAAAGAAACACTGGTGTCGCGCTTAGCCACTACGCGAAGAATTGCATTAAAGAAATTGCGAGAAAACCACTTTTTAGATTAGACACATTAATTAGGTGGTAATTTTATTATAGAGTATCGATGAGGAAACCACCCCACCCCACCCCCCCCCCCACACACACACCTCCACACACCACCCACCCCCACCCCCACACACACCACCCCCACCCCCACCCCCCACCCGCCACCCCCCCCCCCCCACACACACCCCCCCGCCACCCCCCACCTCCCACCCCCCACCCCCCACTCCCAAAAAAATCATGTCTACCGTCCCATTCAACGAAATATAATTATATACTTTTTCCAGTGTCCGCCCCCTCCCAGAAAATTCTACCCCCGCCCCCGAAAATTTCAAGTACCCCCACCCCTCTCCGGGGAGGAAAAAGTCTGAAAGAAACACTGAAACCAACCCACCCCCCACACACCACCCCCCACCACCCCCCACACACACCACCCCCCACCCCCCCCCACACACACCACCCCCACCCCCCCCACCCCCCCACACACCACCACCCCCCCCCCCCACCCCTCCACCACCCCCACCCCCAAAAAAAACATGTCTACCGTCCCATTCAACGAAATATAATTATATACTTTTTCCAGTGTCCGCCCCCTCCCAGAAAATTCTACCCCCGCCCCCGAAAATTTCAAGTACCCCCACCCCTCTCCGGGGAGGAAAAAGTCTGAAAGAAACACTGAAACCAACCCACCCCCCCACACACCACCCCCCCCCCACCCCCACACACCACCCCCCCCCCCCACACACACACACACACACCCCACCCCTCCACCCCCCCCCCCCCCAAAAAAAACATGTCTACCGTCCCATTGCAAGAAAACCACTTTTTAGATTAGACACATTAATTAGGCGGTAATTTTATTATAGAGTATCGATGAGGAAATTTCTTTTGAGTTGGGGAGGGGGGGGGGGCTCAGACGTTCTTACGCGGGGGGTGGGGCTTCGCCCCTACCCGAAGAATTGTATGCAAGAAACTCTTCACGCAAACCATTTAGATTAGACAACATTTCCTTTTTATTCAATGTTAACGCGAAAATCAATGACGTCATATAACTTTGAGCACTCTCTGGGTTTGAGATTATTTTCTACTCTGTGCGCTAAATGTGTCGACGTCATATTTCGTTTTTCGAATTACTGTGCATGTTTTTAAATTGCTTGTGTTTTCTCTAGAGCGTTCTTGTCAGACAGAGCGTTCTTGTCAGATACACAGACAGCGAAACTATTATTATAGATAGATATATATATATATATATATATATATATATATATATATATATATATATAAATATATATATATATATATATATATATATATATATATATATATATATATATATATATATATATATATATATATATATATATATATATATATATATATATATAGTCTATATGGCAAATGTCTATATAGATTGATGTATATATTTTTACATATACATACATAATACACACACTAAAGATGTGAAGTGTTAACGAAAAATCTAATGTTTTGTTGATGGTTGAAAAGGTTCTCTGATAAAACAATCAGCAAAAATGCTACCGGGCTGTGGAGAATAGACTCTGAGACAGACCACAGGGACATAGGCGGGGACGTAAATGAGGAGGATGATCTGGACCTGGAGTATGGACAACCCAGAACGTTTGTAGTGACCACTGAAGGGGGTCAGTTTGTGTCAGACACTCACCCGGGGATCTCAGTGAACATACCTGCCCACTCACTCAGTAGCACACTTCATGTGACCATTCAGGTAGGACAATCAGAATAACAATAAAACACTAAGTACTGCCACTGGGATGGAGTGGTCTAGCGGATGAGAGCTGGACTGCGAACCTGTAAATCTCGAGTTCGAATCCCGGTTCAAGTCAGTAGAACGTCCCTGGGTCCACCCAACTCTGATGGGTACCTAACTCACGTTAGGGAAAGTAAAGGCGGCTGGGCATAGTGCTGACCACACTATCTCTTCATATGCCAAGGTCACAGAAACAAGTGAACTCTACTTCACTTGCCCCATAGACCATCAGGTTTGAAAGGGAAACTTTACTGCCACAAGACTTAGAAAACTATTATTAACTATTATTAGTATAAATAAGTTGAAAATTGTACCAACAAAAAAATGAAGGATATTTTATAATTTTAATCCATCCACAGCTTCTATTCATTTCGCCAAAACTGATAAAGAAAGCCCAAAAACTGAACCATTTTGTGAGCAACATCATTACCATGGGGCCGATTGTTTATTTTAAAACATCACATGAAACAAGTTTTGACAGCCCAGTGACTATCACTATGCCAGCTCCCCTTTCAGTCAAGGGAGGCCACCTCACAATTTTGACAATAAGAAAAGATAACTCATGCATTCCATGTGCTAATGGGTATTACTCAGGCAAAGCAACAGTGACTCTAAATGCTTGGCATCTCTATACGTAAGTAATTAATCAGAGATAAATCAGGGATATTTTAAATTGTTGATATTTTAATTCCTTAACGGAATGCATTTTTAAAAAATGTATTTATTGTAGTTAAATTTGTATAATTTTTGTTTTTAAAGTTTTTTGAATAGCTTTTGGTTCTGTTTGCAGAAAAGTTGCTTTGATTACCAAAGCCAAATGTAAATACAAAGCCTGCAAGTCAGTGGAGCAGTTTCTACAGGTCACTGGGATTTCATAACCTCCACAGACTGACAACACATGAACTTGATGACACAGCTGACTTTGACTTATCATATTACACTTTACATTCACTTACTTTAACATATGATCACATAATATAATTATCTTTTAATAACTGTATTGCCTATTTAAATATTTTAACTGTACTCAGTGCACTTAAATATACAATAGGTTTTAAACCATAAACTAATGACTATTTGGGATATAAACACCAAATGTGAATGTAATATTTCACCAAGTCTCATTTGTTAGCATTATTTATAGTTTCATCATTAAACTGAAATATCTTTAGAGCTAAATTAAGACTTATGTTTAAAACTATCCAAAAAAAAATTAGTAGCTTATTGCCTATAGAGAATGGAAATAAAAAACTTACCATTGTAAAACAAGAAAGGAATGTCTAATGGAGGAAGAGGTTTATTTTTGGGTATCATATCACAAACAACTGTACAATGTAGGTGGTACTCAAATCCATCTTTGCCAGAAGTGTTTTCTTGGAGGGTCAAGTTCTGTAACAATAACATCAACAAATAATTCATTGAACAACTAGTTAGGTGTTACTTGAATCAGAATTTCTAGTAGGGTCACGTACTGGAACAGGCAACATATCAACAATTTCTCCTACTATTCCTAACCCCCTTAAATGGAATTTTATTTTTTCATTTCTGTAACTATTTTTTTTTATACTAACAATAAAGATTCAGTTCATTGTAAAACCAGCAGGCTCAGTTATATTAGGCTATAAAATGTTCTATATTTTAAGATTTAAAATTTTTTTGTTTAGTTCCAGAATATGCTTTGTTTTAGTAGAAAAAAAAATAATGGAATTAAATGTCTTGAAGATTGGCAATTAAGAATTATCCTAGAATAAAAAGTAAATGTGTCAATCTTTTCCTTACGTGTATTTTTCTAGTCATGTTGTTTTGTAATTAAATATATGTTGTATCTATCTAAGGGTAAATTTTGTTCCTTAACTCCAAAGGAAAAATTCAAATCACATAAATTATTGATATAATAAAGTGAATAACTTTTTGTAGAAGTAAAATATTTATCAAGACTTATTCAGTACGTGTTGGGGGTAAAATGGATAACAATCTTGAGTTTACACCATGGGACTAGATAACTAAGCCATGCATACCTGCAGTGTACACTGTCCGTTCAGCAGTGGGAACTCAATGACCAACTGACCAGTAGCAAACACAGGTACTTCATCCACTTTACTTGGGGCGGAGATCTCTACCAAAACTTTCCCATTGTAGTCTTTGCCCAGCGGGTTGTCATACTCATCCTGCACAATCAATCACATAGTAAACTGAGCCACATAATGCAGTGAATCACATAGTAGGTTAACCAATTTGTGCAGTGAATCACATAGTAAACTGAGCCACATAATGCAGTGAATCACATAGTAGGTTAACCAATTTGTGCAGTGAATCACATAGTAAACTGAGCCACATAATGCAGTGAATCACATAGTAGGTTAACCAATTTGTGCAGTGAATCACATAGTAAACTGAGCCACATAATGCAGTGAATCACATAGTAAACTGAGCCACATAATGCAGTGAATCACATAGTAAACTGAGCCACATAATGCAGTGAATCACATAGTAGGTTAACTACATTGTGCAGTGAATCACATAGTAAACTGAGCCACATAATGCAGTGAATCACATTGTAAACTGAGCCACATAATGCAGTGAATCACATAGTAGGTTAACCACATTGTGCAGTGAATCGCATCAATCATACACTGTAGTGAATCCGGTACTAATTTTAACCATTTACAAAACTACTTACTTCATTCAATTTTACAGTACAAAAAACTAAACTGCGTTATATTTTTTTTAACTAAACATAACACTTGAGCTTGGCCAAAAAGTCCCTGAAGGCTTTTTACTTTACAGTTGTTAAAAATTCACGTAAAATTTCTAGTAATTTCTTGAGACTAACCCTGAGCTCTAGACGCAGTGATTTAACTAACGTTCTGCTGGCCAAGCTCTTGGTATTGGACACTGTAGGTGTTGTGCGTCTGTCCAGGGGTATGAGGGAGGCAGGTGATCCAGGTGTCACTGTCATGTTAATCTGAAAGGTCATGTAACACAATTTAGAAATAGAAGCAGGCACTGCTAGAAAAAACAAAAAACATACAGCAATATTTAACAAATAATTAAAAAATATTTTTGGATAATTTCTGTATGATAAGTTTATCAGCATATTTTAGTTGGCAATGCTTTGAAATAAAACTAAGCTAACTCACACATATTGCTAATGCTTTCTCATAAAATGTACAGAAATACACACAAAAATGGATATTGTAAACTTACAGCTTTACTTATGAGTTCATATATTCCATCATAGAATGTAAATGTAATGATGTAGTCACCCGTTACTTCAGGGACTTGACATTTTCTGTAAGATAACAGCAAAACAACATTGGTTCTAATATCCTTCTAACACTATACAAACAAAAGCAACATAAAAATTAAAGCAAAAACATTCACAAAAATAAAAATTTACAACACAAATTACCAAACAACTTTTAAACTTCTTTAAAAACCATCTGACAGAAATATTTTACAAAAACACCTTAAATAAACAAACAGTAAAAATAAACAATGGGCCCATGGGTCTTGGGCAGTAAAGGGGAAAGATGATGATAAAACAACAAACAACTTATAAAAGCAAATTACTTAAAGCTGAAAGTTCCTGTGTCTTCTTTAGTTCCATTCTGTACTTGGAGGATTTCTGTCTGAAATAAGACAATAATCTTTTTTTATAACAGGAATACAAAGACTGCAGGTTTCAGGGAAAAATAACTGAGGTTATGCAACCTTTCACCAGACAAATCCAGTGCAATACATAATTAAGCTATCAAAAATTTTTTCTCATTTCTAAACTGTTAAAAACATTTTTAAAAGCAAAAAGTATTATGTTAAAACATTTGAAGGATTTGCTTGGAAAAGATTAAAAACAATAAGCTTGCAATAAAAAACAAAATTAATTTTGGACAAGTAGGCTTTCAGGTAAATGTCAAACACCCATTTTAATTAATACAAAAACAAAACTTCTGTTTACAAAAAAGGTACAGATAAAGTTACCTGATGCCAAACTATATTTTTGCTAATCACAACCCTAGCTCTCAGTTAAACCAGCAGAAACAAAACCTATAATACAATACTAAATTGAGTTTTTTTTTTTTCAAAGTTAAAAAAGATCATATAAACTACCTTAGCAGGTGAGGGACCTGTGCTGTTGACTTCCTTCCTTAACAGCCTCATGGTGATTTGGTCAGCACTGGCGGTCCTCAGCAGGCCTCCATCCTCTGACTTTACAGTGATTATGAAATCTGTTAAAGACAAGTCATTAAATCAGTTTGTGTGGGAGGGCATTGCCTAGCAGTAGAGCACTAGATGGCTAACCCGAAAGTCTCGAGTTTGAATAAAAATAAAGGTGGCTGGGCATAGTGTTGACCACACTGTCCCTTCATATGCCTAGGTCACTGAAATGGATAAAGTCTATTTCATCTGCTTCATGAGTCTTGGGCACAAACAGGACAAGAAGAGGATGATTAACTCTGACATCTCATGTGAAACATTTAAAAAAAACTAAAACATCCATGATTTAACATCTTCACACTCAAAACAACTTGTGACATTTTGGTTAAATCTTTAAAAAAATGTGTGAAGTTACAGATTGATTTTTTTTTAATACCTGGGAACGTATGTCCAGCAATGACCGGAACTTTAGCGTTGTACGAGACATCAATCTGTGTGGGCTTCAGGGGGTCTGGTTGAACGTTGACAGTTAACTTTGGCCCGGTGATGGTAGTTTTGTCTATTGTAGCATTTGGCTGAATTTCATAACTTCCACTAAATGCAGAGTATATTCAAAAATATTTTTTGAAAAAAAAAAAAAAACAACCAGAAAAAGAACAGCAATGTTAATGACATTAAAAAAATTAAAGGTATTAAATTCTTCTTGACTTAATAAGAGTAGCAGTCATTACGGAAATAACACTGATTTAATGTATTTTCATTAGGTCTGAATTATATATATATTTCTCTGACTTAAGTAAGGTATACTTTGTGAGACATCCAACAGTATTTGAGCTAGTATCATAACTCCATACTGCATTACCCACAAGCCCAATTATTCTGTTCAACTGACTAGTTCAATGCGTATGAACAAAATCAAACACTAAAACAGTCTCACCTGTTGGCTGTGAAAGTCAACACACCAAAGTTTGCCACACCAGACTCATCTGTTTTAACAAATGATGTAGCAGGTTGAACCTGTTGATTAAAAACAAAGGGAGACTACATTACAGAAAAGGGAGACCAATTTTAAAAAAAGTCACTAACAAACCAAATTAATCTTTATTAAAAAAAAGTGCAAGCCCACTTATTTTACCTTCAACTTTTGGTCTTTGACAAGGTTAACTCTGATATTGCTTAATTTGCAAACATTCTTTTCAGAGTCTAAAATCTGCACTCGGAATGGCTGGTCCATTGGTTTACCACTGTGGATCAAGTAAGGCTGAAAAACATTTAGAAAGCTATAGAAAGCAATAGATTGGTAAAAAAAAAAGAAATTAATTATTTAGAAAGCTTTAACAATAGATTGGTAGTTGATTATTTAGAAAGCTATAACAATAGATTGGTAAAGAAATAGGCAATTGAATATTTAAAATAATCATATACTAGCTTTAACAAAAGATTCATTTTTATTTGAAAATAATCAATACTAAGCTCACTTTGGAGATATTTTAAATAATTCCAAATAAATATATTTAGTAAATAAATGTCTTAATAATTAATGATTCAAATATATAAAGGAATAATAAGCACAACTTAATATAAGGAGGCAATTTATTTTACAATTTTAGATTTAAAAGGGTTTAGTAGTAATACATCGAGAATTTACAAAAAATAAAATTATTAGGAAGAAGCCTCTGACCTCCTCTAGAACCCAGTCCAAGACCTGGAGCTGTGTTGGTGGACCAGACAAAACCTCACACCTGACGTAACCCTTGAGGCTGTTCCATGCCAGCTCCACCTCTTGAGATCCCATGGAGGTGAAGACCAGGTTGTGGACCTCCAACTGTTGCTGTAGGATACAACAAAATACTCAGTCAGTTGCCATAGTAACATGGGTAAAGACCTTTCAAATGTTGTTGCCTTATTAACATGTGTAAACACCTTTCAAATGTTGTTGCCTTAATAACATGTGTAAACACCTTTCAAATGTGGTTGCCTTAGTAACATGTGTAAAGACCTTTCAAATGTGTTACCTTATTAACATAGGTAAAAACCTATCAAATGTTCTTGCCTTATTAACATGTGTAAAGACCTTTCAAATGTTGTCTTAATAACATGTGTAAAGACCTTTCAAATGTTGCTGCCTTATTAACATGTGTAAAGACCTTTCAAATGTTGTTGCCTTATTAACATGAGTAAAGAGCTTTCAAATGTTGCCTTATTAACATGTGTAAAGACCTTTCAAATGTTGTTGCCTTATTAATATGTGTAAAGACCTTTCAAATGTTGCCTTATTAACATGTGTAAAGACCTTTCAAATGTTGTTGCCTTATTAACATGTGTAAAGAGCTTTCAAATGTTGCCTTATTAACATGTGTAAAGACCTTTCAAATGTTGTTGGAATGTTGCAGGAGCAAAAATATCAAGGTTTGTATTTTAAAATTACATAACTTGTATTAGGGAAGTTACGTGTTTCAAGAAAGTGAAAATGTTTTTACTATTACTAAGGTTACACCAAACCAATTAAGTTAATAATTATTTTTAACAGTAACAAATATTTAAATAAAAACAAACTATGATCAATTAAAATTAACACATGTTAGCTTCTCTTATAGCAAAGGTAAATGAACCAGAAAAAAAAGAGAAAAATTGAAATAGTTACACTTACACTCACAACTGTAACTTTGATCAGGTCTGTCTTTAAAGAGGAGCCACTAACAACAAGATTCTTTCTCATCGAAGCAAGTGCCTACACAATACATTACCACAAGACTAAATTTTTGTTGCAAATGTTCATCAGCAAAAAAAACAAAAAAAAAAAAAAACAACTTATAAATCATTGCTAACAACACATTTTAAATATTTTTCACCTATAGAGTTGCCAGGATAGTGCTCAAAGATGATAGGGTTAAGTGTTATGAAAAAAAAAAAAACAGGATAGAAGCAATGATCTATTAAATTACTACTCAAAATATCTAAAAATTTAAGTATAAAAAAATATGCTGAACGACACTTACAGCTACTGGGTTGCCAAACTTGTCCTTTAGACTGATATGAATGCTGCCATTGAGAGGCTGGTTTAACATTGTGATAGTCTCCCCAATGAGCTGACAGTCCATCTGATGGGCTGGTCCAGGGGTTGACCTAGGGGTAGCAACAAAGATGGAACAATTAACATAGCGACTTGGCATTTATTACATATACAAGTACCCTTTCTAGTGGTCATAAATGAAGGGTCATTCAGGTTCATAAGTCAAATGAAGTAAAGGTCATGTGTCTTTGATCTTGATATATGAAGGGTCATTCAGGTTCATAAGTCAAATGAAGTAAATGTCATGTGTCTTTGATCTTGATATATGAAGGGTCATTCAGGTTCATAAGTCAAATGAAGTAAAGGTCATGTGTCTTTGATCTTATATGAAGGGTCATTCAGGTTCATAAGTCAAATGAAGTAAAGGTCATGTGTCTTTGATCTTGATGTATGAAGGGTCATTCAGGTTCATAAGTCAAATGAAGTAAAGGTCATGTGCCTTTGATCTTGATATATGAAGAGTCATCCAGGTTCATAAGTCAAATGAAGTAAAGGTCATGTGTCAAATAAAGTAAAGGTCATGTGCCTTTGATCTTGATATATGAAGAGTCATCCAGGTTCATAAATCAAATGAAGTAAAGGACATGTGTCAAATAAAGTAAAGGTCATGTGCCTTTGATCTTGATATATGAAGGGTCATCCAGGTTCATAAGTCAAATGAAGTAAAGGTCATGTGTCTTTGATCTTGATATATGAAGGGTCATTCAGGTTCATAAGTCAAATGAAGTAAAGGTCATGTGTCTTTGATCTTGATATATGAAGGGTCATTCAACCACTTTCTCTTTCCCAGACCAAGTTAGGTGCTCATCAGTAAAGTTAACCTTTTGAACCTGATGGTCCATGTAGCAAGTAAAGTAGAGTTCATCTGTTCACATCGGAATATGAAGGGATAGTGTCGTCAGCAGTGTGCCCAGCCGCCTTTACTTTCCCTAACGTGAGTTAGGTGCCCAGTCACCTTTACTTTCCCTAACGTGAGTTAGGTACCCACCAGAGCTGGGTGGACTCAGGGACATTCTACTGACTAGAACAGAGGACGGGAACCAAACATACATTTTTTTTTACATATGTGGTTATATTCAGTATTGACTAAGCTTCCATCAAATGTTAGCCTGATCCAAAAGCTGATCATCAATATAAAGCAATTAAGCATTTAACCATAATGCTGCTATGTGTGAAACATAAAAATAAGTCTTTACTTGATGCTAAACTGCAGCTCAATGCCATCCCCTTCCATTAGACTTATCTGGCAGTATTTTGTTTCTAAGGTAGATGTTGATGCTTTTAGGGGTGGAAGTGTTTTTCCTTGGATCATATCTTTAGTTAACCTAGGGGCCCAGTTCACCTGCAATCACAAACTAATGTTTAAAATGTGTAGATTTTATACAAGTTTAAAAAACTCCAAAAAAAAAATAAAAAAAAATTCTCATTTATAAACTTTGTTGCTGCATACAAATGATTAAATTTTAATAATAAAAGTTTCAACTTTTATGGATAGTAGCCTCTTATGAAAATATTTTAAACAGTTTATACCTTAATTTTTCCAGCTACTTTATCATCTATTTCTATTTCTTCTTCTGCCTCATTGTAAATTTCAAAACCTGGAAATTAAAAACAATTCAATTTTAAATTCAACAAGAAAAAAAAATGAAATTATTTTTTAAACAATTTGCTAACATGTGCCAGCTTACATAATAAAAAAAAATGAAATTAATTTTTAAACAATTTGCAAACATCTGCCAGCTTACGTAAAAAAAAAATGAAATGAATTTTTAAACAATTTGCTAACATCTGCCAGCTTACGTAATGTATCTAAGATTGACCCAGCCTCTAGCTGAAGAGTGTCCCCATTTTTAATTTCCTTGTCAGTGCCATTCACTTTGTGGAACATTTTTATCAGTGAGGCACGGTTGCTAGGCAGCACTCTAATAGTACGTTCTATGGGCTGCATGTTTCTCACACCCTGTCAGAAGTAAGAATAAATCTTTTAATGAGCCATAAAATTTAAAAAATCAGATAATAAAAAAAAAAGGAACATAAAAGAACTGAGTAACCAGTATATTGCCCAACTCATAGATGTAACTGACTACACAAAAGAAATTGTTTTTCCATGCTTCAAACATGAGTAGTGGTGATGGGTAGAAATTTGCCTAGCAAAATATCTATAACAATTGAAGTTTTTCCAAAGCAATCTAAAAATTTAAAAGCAACCTGACTTTTAAAAAACTTTTTTGTACATTAAAAAAAATAATATAGATAAATCAAGACCATCTGAACAGTATTGTACCAGAGTGATCACAACTAATGTGACTATTGGAAGTGGTTAGCAGTGGTTGGATTTATGGAGAAACATGTAGCAAAAGTGTCAAGGAAAATGAACAGAAAAAAATTCTTGCATACTTAGGAAAAATAACAGCTAGTAATTAGACTGTTAACAAAGGGTCTAATAGAAAAACAGCTGAAAAGATGCCATTTTTAGGAATTGTTGGGTTAACTTATTTCTGTTAAAGTTTGGATTTGGAATTTTTTTGGGGTTGGAAAAACACTTTCCAACTGGCAAGTCAGATTTCTACTACACCCCTAGAATAGTTACATCTCCACCATGCATTTACTTTCTAAGACCATATTCCCATTTGCAATGGGCAGATTTTAGTATGTTGTTCAGATCAACTTAGGACTTTTTGATAAGAAATCACACGACAATACAAAAATTAGGAACGAAGAAGAAGAAGACATGACAAGCTTTCTACTTTAAATAAAAGTTAAAATAAACAATGGCTACTGTGCTACCATACAACATCCTCACCTGGACATCAAACTCTGCTTTAATTAATTTCTCTCCTGTCATGTTTTTGATGAGAACTGGTCTGCCAGTTAGGGTTGCTGTCCCATTGGCTGAACAGTCTGCAATAAGGTTTGGTAGATTATTCGCCCCTGTCAGCTGCAAAAATAGAACAAAATAACTGCGATAATCAAATTAAAATGTTTTCTAGTTTAGTTTTGGTTCTTTGATCTCTTAACCCCAAGTGAGTTTATTCCTTATACTGCTAAAGTGTTAAAATGCATATTAAAAATCCAAAAGCAGCACTTACGCTGAAAAAATTGTCTCTAACTACAAAGAAGTTGTGTGATATTTATTACATTTTACATAAATTCCCACCATATCTAACACTCGAAAAATTGTTTCCTCCAAATCTTAAATAATTAGTTGATACTAACACTGAGTTTATTTTTGAGTAATGTTCACCATTATTCTAAGCAATTCAGCTCTGTTTGTGTAGAGTAACATTACCAGCCCCGGACACCCTTAGCCCGAAACAGAGACTCCTTTCCAGTTCGAGACACCTAATTTCGTTACTATTTGACATAGAATGAAAACCAAAGCATAGAAATACTCTCCAGCCAAAGAAGAATAAAAATATGTATTCCTTTTTTTTCCATTCGCAATATAACTTTTAAATATATGCCCCCGAAACAGACGACCCAGTCGTCCTGGACCAGAATACAATTTTCCCGATTTAGCCTCCAAACAACTGGTCTTTCCTCCATCATATTTTTGCTGTTTTTTTCAGCTCAGTTGAATAAATAATCTTGTACTATTAATATTTTATGTGTTTAGTTTTGTGGTTCAGTGTGTATTTGTTTTTAAATGCCAAAAATAATATAATTTATAACAATGGAAAAAAAATAATAGGGGAGATAACTCTTCCCAATAAAATGCTTGTGTTATGGTTTACTATGGGTAATCGTTTCCAGGCCAAACACGTAAATTTTCATCCTCCTTACGACTACCCCAAAAAAATGTATTTAGTAAAAAAAAAAGCATTTTCTATAAACATATATGTTCTGTAGCTTATCCCATTCAATTTCAGTTCATTTTTTTCTGAAAAAAAAATTAACATTGTTTTAAAAGACGTTAAGCCGGGAGGAGGCTTTGCTTGTACCGGCAACATAAAAATGGCCGCCTACATGACGGGTTGCTTTTAATTGCTAATATCCCACTGTGGGTAATTCAATGGATCAAAGTTTGATATAAATAGACTTATATTTGCTACCAATTATAATGTTTCTGTATAAAACATTCAAATAACAGTGCAATTAGTATTCAAAGTGAGTTACGGAGTTGTTCGTTTCGAGGCACATAGTCGGGCCAGGCAGAGTTACTCTATATATTTGCACAAATATATAAACCACAATAAACACTAAAACCAGTAATGCACCTTGTCCCTAAAAGAGATTTTTCCTTCTGACACAAAATCCAGTTACCCACCATGCCTACAGTTACCCACCTTGCCTACAGTTACCCACCTTGCCTACAGTTACCCACCTTGCCTACAGTTACCCACCTTGCCTACAGTTACCCACCTTGGCTATGACAAAGATTTTTCCTCCTGAGGTGATGTTGCCTGCAGCATCCAGAACTTCAACAAAAAATGTTGGGGCTGAACCATTCTCTATTGTGACCTCTGTTTCGGGTTTGACTACAAGACTCGCCACTGGACCTGTGGAGCACATAAATATGCATGTGTCTTAGCAGTTTAAAATCTTTGTTGTAACTCCATGTATATTTTCATTTATATATTAATCGTTTTTAAAAACACTTTTTCTCTCTCTCTATATATATATGTATATATATATATATATATATATATATATATATATATATATATATGTATATATATATATATATGTATATATATATGTATATATATATATATATATATGTATATATATATATATATATATATATATATATATATATATATATATACGTATATATATATATATATATATGTATATGTATATATATATATATGTATATATATATATATGTATATATATATATATGTATATATATATATATGTGTATATATATATATATATATATATATATATATATATATATATATATATATATATATATATATATATATATATATATATATATATATATATATATATATTATGTACATAAGCCCCAACTATTCTACTATTATTACCAACTGGCCTTACCTGGTTACATATAAGAGTATATTAAAATAATTTTTTGTAACTTGTTTGGTGACTGTGATTATCTAGACAATATATTTTTTTTAATAAGGGGAGTGAAAAATACCCGCTCTTGCATTTGTAAAATTATATTTCTTTTACCATTAAAATTAAATAGCTTGACACAAGGTATCAAATTAGCATCTCACACAAACTAGGTGGTGTTACCTGGCAAAAGTCGTATCTTTAAAGTATGTGACTGGTCTAGACCTGGTATGGACACTTTCAAATTGAAGTTCTGTAGTTAGAAACACAATAGATAAATTTGTAAGATTGTGGTTTTCAAAAAATGTTTAATAACTGCATTTGGTAAAATGATGCAAAATATTTTTAAAGTTTGAGAGATAGATCGATGTTTAAAATTATTCTAAAAGCTATGGCTTTGAATGCACGTTTGAAATTAAAAGAATATTTTTAAGTTTATAACATAAGCTGCTTTTTTTATTTTCTATTATTTGCATTTCTAAAGAAACTATTGCTTAAACATCATTGTGATTTAATAAAAATGTAAGAGAAAGACTGACCTTTCCGGCACTGCTGTTTACAATGCCTTTAGCAACTACACCCTTTATGAAACAGCTGTTTCCCTTAACTTGGGTGTTTTCGTAGCTAAGTTCTAAACCACTGGTGTAGGTAAAATATATGGGTAAAAATAACCTCCAATACAAGCATAATTATTATATTGTTTTAAAACATTTAAATCCCTCTTCAAATAGTTTGCTTAATGTTTTTGAAAAAGATATTCTTTGGACCTTGCGGTCAAGAAGGCAGTACACCTGTTTCTGTAGCCTCACAATCTGAAAGGATAGTGTGGTCAGCTCTATGCCCAGCCAGCTTTATTTTATTCATAACATTAGCCAGATACCCATTAGAACTGGGTGGACTCATGGATGCTTTAGAGACTCAAGCCCAGGATCCAAACTCAAGACTTCTGAGTTTGTAGTTGTGCACTCTAATACTGAACCATGAATCATATATTTTTTTCAAAAAGTAAAATTTTTTTTTTGTATGCTCAATGTATTAAAATCTTTGGATTTTGTGTAGCTTAAATACGTATTAAACAGTAATAGTTTATTTGTTAGAATCTATAAACAGCATTAGCTTCTCAAAATCTCCAAAAAGAAATGAGTACAAATTATAAACAAAAAGAGAGGGAACAAAACTCACTCAGCATCAAGAATAGGCTTGAGTTTTGCCGGGGGTCTGGTCGAGTTATTGTAGCGATCCTGAAACTCCAGAGGTATTTGGAAGGGTACGCCAACCTTAAACGGACCATCAAGGATACCAACGGTAAACTTTTCTGGGTCCCCTTCTGCAGGTAAACAAAAAGATACCCATGGCTGAGTTAGTTTTCATATTCTGATTCTGTGTGCTTCACATTTATTTAACTAACATAAAAACACAGAGCTCTTTGTTGAAATTTCCTATCATATTTTTGTGTTACTTCAGCTATTACTATCACTAAATGCATAAATACTATAAGGAATGATTTTAATACACAATTATCATTTAAATATAGACTTATTAAAAATGGAGCTATAAAATTAATGTTTCTAAAAATGGTTGGAACTTGATCTGATTATGCCTTAGAATAAATTTTAAAAGAATATTGCATTAATTTCATAACAAATCTTAAACATTCAGGATAAATTGATTAATTTATTTTAAGACTTCGTTTATGTTTATCATCACCACAGATCTTACCACACACTGTAAATTTAATTATATGAGACGGTAGCTCCCTCCCTGCAAACATAACGTTCCCAGATTCATTAAGAACTGTGTTCAACTGTAGCGTGTAGTTGCCAAGGTTCTTGGCACTGTCTGAAACATAGGACGCAGGTTTCAGCTACATATCATGATTAATTAAAAACTATACTAACCTTCATCAATTCAGGCTTGATTGTTTTCCAGTTTGGACTGAGTTTGAATCCCAGTCAAAGGATAGTTGTTTGGAAATAGCATTTATATTACTTATTATCTGTGGATGTAGAACTTTCCAGAGTCCACCCAGCTCGGATGGGTATCTAATTCAAGTTGGGAAAAGTAAAGGCAGCTAGGCTGACTACACAATCAATTCACATGCTGATGTCACATAAACAGGGGAACTCTACTACATCCGCCTTATATTATCCATAGTAACTAGAGGTTACTTACTTATTTAATGCTAAAATGCTATTAAGTGACTCACCCATCTTACGAAACCAATACGGCCATGTTTTGCCATGTTGTGATAGTAAAGCTACAATAACCTCATCTCCATGTGGAGCTGTAAAAAGAAAATTAATCAATTAAATTTTTGTCTTACCTCACAACCTCACTTGAAAATAGCTACTAGACATGTTGCTTAAATAGCAATTATAAAAAAAATAATAATTTGATAACCTCTTTTCTAAGTGGTGCTTTTAAAAACATATTCTATTAAATATTTCAGTCTTAATATTAATTTAGCAATTTTACTGTTAGTATAACAATTATGAATTGTTCGGTAGAAAATGTATCTTTACCGTGCCATATGAGCTTTAGTTCAACTAGTAATTTCTTAGTTCCAGCGGAGACTGGGATTTTTGAGATTTTCTCCCCCTTCTTGTTGCTAATTTCTACCTTGATGTCACCTGCAGCAAGGAGTGGTTTATTAATACATTTCATACAAATTGCATTAAACGGATATAAATACTGTGTCACCTTAAACATGACATTTTTCACATGATTTTTTTCCCAGTACATTTCCTGAAAAAGTTTAAACATTGATTCCAATAGTCTATCATCATTAAACTTGATTTCATATATAGAAATCATGTATTTTAATTTAATGAATAAAAACAATTTTTTTCTTCTTTCAAATTTGATCAGATTTTTCTCTTCTACAATACTCACCTATTGTTTTGCCTGCATTTCTTTTCTCATTTGGAACAATTTCCATTCCATTTGGCCAGGACACAATAAGATGATCTGGTAACCTGTAATACAATTCTGACTGATTACTTAATACCCAAAAAACAAAATATTGACTAATTTTTCTTTAAATATCCTAAGTTTACATATCTATTGAAACAAGGCTATTAAAAAAATTGTAGTCGGAACTGTACTTCGCTTCTTCCTCATCTATGTACTTCTTAATCTGCAATGCTGATGTTCCTCTGTCAAGTTTATTTAAGGGAACAAATTTACGCTCTGTATATAGTGACTGAGGCTCCTAAAGCATAAAAACAAAATGATTGTTAGCAAATAAAATTTTAACTTCTAGCAAATTATTTTTAAAGTTTTCTGAAATATTAATTTAAACAGATAACACTCACTCATCCCAATATCTATATTATTTGATGATTTTGTGAGAAACAATATAAATTCAAACAATTTTTTAAAGAATCTTTGAAATTTTTTTTTCAATTTTATGAAAGAACAAAATATTCTTGCAATATTAAAACCAATGTTAATAACTGTTCATTAATTAAATTTCAGAGAAGTATTGCGTTTTTATTTTGTCATAAACTTTGCTTTTAAAAATTTTTAAATAATTAATATTCTAAAATTAAATTAGAAATTACATCTACAAGATAACTTTATTATGACAAACAGATATAAAAAAAAAAGAAAACACCAAATACCTGTAAAAGTTCAATGTCTCCACCCATTGCATAGACGTCTCCCTCATATTCACCATACAGGTAAAAAGACTGGATTGTTCCATAAAGTGCAGGAGCAGTCCGCAAGATTCGAACCTTTAAAAATATTGATCAGAACCATAAATAAAATATATACCATTATAAAAAATAATTTTTCAAACTTTTAAAAATATACTGTATCGCATTGGGATCAAAACTTTAAAAAGTTTAAACAAAAATTTAAAAAGATCCCTGTTAATAATATCTCTATTTGACCAATAAATATATTAGGATAAAAGATTTTTTTTAAACAACTAATATCTTACCATTTGTCCAGTCTGATACACTTTTCCATCCCACTCCACCTGAGTAAACTTAGTCCAAGGTATCTGTTTTTGTTTGGGCAGGTCTACCCTTGCTATCTGCCCCTGGTTGCCAGAGAATAAAATCTGTTTGTCGTATTCTTCATTACATTCTCTTAGCCAGGACAAAAACTCTTTCTCTATGTTGGTTCTCTTTTCCTGTAAAAATAGAATTGCCAGTTTATTAAAAAATATTTTTTTCATAATTTTTAACAGTAGTTTCTTATTTTTGAGGATTTAAATAAACAACTGTTCCTCAATTTAATAGCTTAACTTAAAATTCACAAACTAAAAAAAAATTAATTGAATAAAGAATTCTTTTAATAACTGTTTTCAAAGTTATGTAAAGAATGGTCCAAACTCATTGCTATTGTGTACCTACATATATCACACACTATGAAATATGCTTAAGGTAATATAATACTAACAGTTAATACTTACATGACCATTAAATATTCTGACGAAGTTTGTATTTTTATCCTTCAATTTCATCTCCAAGTCAAGGAAAGTTAATTTGTTGGTACTGACTTGAAAGCTATCATTGGTCCATAAAACCCCTGAGATTCTGTTTCATAAAAAGCCTTACCTAATATATTTTTGTTATGGAAGTTTTTTTTAATACACATAAACTAACCAAGCTCAGCCATTTTAAATGACAAAAAAATAACAAAATAGGTGAAATTGTTAAGAAGATGTGCAAAGTTAATACATATTGAAAACTTAGCAATCTACTACAATCACAGTACTGAATTACTTTATACTACTCTTAATGACTATGAATTCATGTCACTCTTTTACATGAAGTTATTATAACACGATTTTATTCATTGAACAATACAGTGCATTGTACCTGTTATAACACTCTGAAGGAACTGTTTTCTGCTTTTTTGGTGATGAGCACCAGTCAAATCTATAAAAAAATTTTTTATTTAGAATTAGGATAAAGAAATTAATGTTCTTACAATAAGTTAGAGGTATATCGGGGGTTGTTGCCCTTGGATGATACATCTAAAGAATTACAGTCAGTTATAAAATAACTATTGGCTACTTAGTAATAAGGATTAAAGATATAATGACTCTCAAAGGGAAGTTTGTAAAGCTTTTGAATTAAGGTAAGAAATTTTTTTATTCAAATAGGTAATTTTAATTAAATCAATTTTTCATTGCATTATTTACGAATAGAAAAGCACATATACTTATACACCATTATAGATATTTTATTTAGTTGGGTTTATAAAAGAAATTTAAAACAAACTGAACAAAATCTTCAGCATATCGCTAACACCCACCCCCACATGCTCTGGTGAGCTGTGGTTCACGCTAAATGTTTACAATCATAGAGCCGGGTTTAGTGATGGCTATTAGAGGCAGATAATTTAGTTTGAAACGATTTTAAACTTAGGGGAGGTAACTAAGTGGAGTTTTACTTTCAGGGGGGGGGTGTGTGTGTGTTTGGGGTAGGGGAAAGGAGGGGGTGTTATCGTCCTTAACGAACTACTGATAGTGTTTTAAAGCAAATATTTTCAGTGGCAGCGTTGGTACTGTCAAATTCACAAATTATGAATTACTGAAAAGTAGAAAATAAAACAACTAAATAGCGGTGGATGATACGCCGTGGGTCGCCTCGTTCAAAATATTTAAAACAGCTTACTCTTCAATCAAAGTATAAGGAATAAGACGGCCATTCCAGTAAGCTTCAAACATTGGTCGTCTACCTCTAGCTGGCCTTTCGTTGATAGCATATCCATGGTCATCTTCAGGCTCTGCTTCCACTAAAAAAGTAACAAGTGACCATAAAGCTTAAACACAATGTCTCTAAAAAAAAAAAATCATATCATTACATTAATTCATTTAAAAATTAATTGTGATTAAAAATAAAAGGGTGAATTTTTATACCAGTGTTCGATAATAGAATCTTTAAAAAAGGGGTGTTAGGTAATTGGTAGTTAACTAAATACACACATTGCTGGCTAATGTCAATGCTAACCATGTCCCTAACCGTAGTCCTACCATACGCCTAACCCTAATTTCTAACCATAAAATAGTCGATTACAAAACTACTAACAACCCAACACACCTATTTTATGGAAGAGGCTATAATCGGACATTAGTTTCTAAAATCATCCAAATAAAATAGTTCTTGCATTAAAATTTAATCACCAGCTTTGTCAGCCAATCTTAGGCTTAAATAGTATCAACAAATTAAAAGTAAACCAAGATTTCCTCACATCTGATGCCATAGATATCAGCTGGGTATGTTTCTCTGTCATATTTAAATGGGTGGTAGCGGATAACCCCCTCCACAGCAGTGGAGCCGTCAACGTAAGCCTTGAAGTCAAACGTGCTGGCTGATGTTCGCACATACTGAGACTGCATGTCGTCATCAATCTTTCGGAGGTCAATTGACTTTGGACTCGTGCTGCCTCGTGTGAATACATTCACCTAAGGGACATAATAATTCAAAGTAGTTTTAAAATTTCATTAGTTATTTAGCTCATATTTTTCTTAGGATTTATCTTACCATTTATTAGCTTTAGTGTTATAGAAAAATATAGTATTATTTCTACAAGAATACTGAAAAAATTCAGCCCATTGTTTATAATATGTGATCATTACCCAACAAAAACAACAAATCTTCCCTGATATTTACATATGATTATTTAATGAAGATATTAAAATAACTTAAAGGAGCTAATTCATTTTGTACAAGAAAAGAACAGAGAAATTTTCTACTTATCCCCCTTAGATAATCTTTAGATAAAATAGATTTAATTTTACCTGAATATCAATGTTGTTAAAGGGATCAAACTCTTTTTTATCATTGACTCCATCTGTAAGCTTGTTACCATCTGGTCCATGAAGGTAAAAGTGATAGATGTGCCTAGAGATTAAAAGGTCGTTAAACTTAGTCAACCATTCAGAACCAGGCTAATTTATGAATTTAATGACTTATGTTTTATGAGGTTTACCAAGTAAAAATTTCAATAAAACATTGTGTCACAGGCCTTTTCCTTACCCTTTATAATACACATACGAAAGAACAAAAGTCAAGCCTTCTTCTTGCAGTTTTTCATATTTAATTTATGTTTCATACAGGCATCGTGTTCACTCAGACCTCGCCATCTTCTTCCGCGCATGCGTACCACCCCCACTGTCTCCCTGAATCCAATTCGCCTTTTTTTTAACACACACACTCCCAACATTCATTCATAAACATTTAACTGTTATACATTGTTAATGTCTGTAAAAACAGTTAAATAAAAAAAAATTAAAAAAAAGGGAAAAAAATGACATACGCCAATTGTCTGGTCCACATATTAAAGTTTTGCTTTAAATAGGCAATATGTTGTGTGGAGACCCCTTGTATGACAACAGCCGTAAAGCTTTCCCTGCCTGGTTCCTCTGAGATCAGCTTGATAAGGTTTTCATCATCTGGTGCTATGTGTGAAGAGTCTCCAGGCTGTAGACAAAGTTATAAATAGTTCAAATAGATGTCTTTTAAATTACTTAATTTCACATTCAATATTAGCATTAGTTAAAACAGATGCTGTCATATACTAATTTCAAAATCAATATAAGCACTAGATGATGTTCAAATGTTGTTTTATAAAGTACTTCATTTTAAAACTTCATTTAAAAAAAATCAGTACTAGTTCACTAGATGATTAGATGCTGCTACAAAAGAATTTTATTAGTTAAAATGAAGAAAATAAAGAGAATAGTGCAACAAAATGTCTGTTACAAGAGTGACATAAAATAATTTAAAAAAAAAATAAGTTAAATAAATGACAAAAATAGATGAAATTAATATATAACAAAGATTAGTTTTTTTTAATGGCTTGCCTAAATTAACACTTTGATATAGTTGTGACTTATCTAAAAATAAAATGTCTTAATGTTAAAATAATCCTGTATGTAAGAAAGAAAATTTGTTTGAAATAAAAACAGAGGCAGTGGACTAACCTTTCTGTTTCTAATAAATCCTGAATAGATGGACTGGTTATTCTTCTCCCTCTTTTCAAACTCTTCTTTTGATATGACCATCTCATGGACATCTGTTGAATCCTTTGGTTTACTGATCATCTGAAACAACAAGAGGCAATTCCATTCTTCATTAACTATCTTTGCCTTATTTTTTTAATAACGTGAACAACCACAATAGCTGTTTGAATTAGATATTAACATGTTTTCTGTGTGTAACAAAACTTATTTTCTTATCCATCATTATCATGCTTGTCATAAAACTAAACAAAACTGTAATATGAATTTAAAGTATTTTCTTAAATGAATTTTATTTCTAATTTCCATAATACTTATAATAGATACAAATTATTTAGTAAAAAATAGACTGTTACCCTTGTTGCATTGCCAATAAAGAAAACAGCCTGTTTCCCACCCACACCAAAGTAGGAAATGTCACTGTTCATAAACCTTGGTGCCCATGTACCTGCCAGATTCAGAGAGTCATCAGGATTTCTACTCGTCAGATCAATGTCACCTCTGGGGAAAAAAAAAGTTTTTCCAAAGCCATGTCATGATTTCTTTCTCTAGATATTTACTGCTCATTGCTTCCACTGCTTACTATACAAAATTGATACATTTTAAGATGCAATTTTTTTAATATGATTAGTCTTATCCTGATATAACTGTACTTTAAAAACATATTACTACTTTATTAGATAGCACTAGGGTTGTGAAGTTACATTTTTAAACATATTTTGAATGCACCAACAAAATTCAAAGTGTTTGTGATCATCAGTGTAATAAAAAAAATTGTTGCAAGCTGTATATTTCCTTATGCCCACAGAATATGATTAAATATACAGCACATAGCCAGATGAAAACATGCAGTAAAATAAAGTTAGGTTAACAAAATCAACAGTATAAATACATTATCAGAGTGCAACAAAGTTGAAAAGTTTTATTGTAATATTGTAAGCATTTTTGCAGTTATTTGATGGCTTTTCTAAATAACTCCTTTGATGGATAACATCTGAATTTTAAAAAATTTATATGATTTACCATTACTTTAATTTAGTGACATTACTTCTTCCTGTTGTTAGAATTCTAAATAAAAGTATTTTCTTATTGCTTTTATACTGTCATTGTTTGTTTCTTGAATGTTTTTGATTTAGATTATACAATAAAATGCTGTAAAAAACACAATGAAGAATTTGTGTTTTTAACAATTTTAATTTTCTTATTGACAAAAAGCTAAGTTCGGTTCAACATATTTCTCATCAAGGCATTTCATTATACTTCTATATCCCCTACTAACTAAATCTACTGTGTAGATAAAATGAGAATAATAGGTTAGCTGTGCCAGATATAAAAGGAAAAAGCAATATTATGTGTGTTTGTTTAAAAAAAAATTCATTTCAGATAATTTCATATCATTTTAAAGAAGAGAGCTGCAATATAATGCATGCACACCATAAAAAATGTTACAGTGTTGTTTAGCAAAATCATCTGGTCAGCTTACTTTTACCCATTTTGCACAGAAGAAATTGCATAGAAAAACAGAAAAATTAACATATTTTATTAAATGTTTTGTGTTATAATCAATAGTTTTTATATTTCTTACTTATGTTTATGTATTAAGTGAGCTTTCAGAAAATGTGTAAGAATGTGAGAACAAATTGTTTACGTTTTTATAATCAGTTAATATTTCTTGTTTCAGGGAAGTCAATCCAAATTAGACTGATTTTGATAAATATTTTTAGAATAAATAAAAAGAGGCTTATAAACATATCTAGCCCTGATGGATGAAACTCTTACCCTTTACCCGGCTTTTTTCTGAAATTAGATAGTTAGCTATTTCATTTTAATAATATAGCAATCATACATTGTTCATTCGCTAACATAGAACAATTTTTGTTCAATTTTAAATGGATCTGATTAGTCAACAAAGCAGGTTGCCTTACAAACATTTAAACTGTGAAGCTTAACAATGAAAGCAAGAAGCTATAAACAAATAAAAATCACAGATAATGTAACACCGGTAGAACTAGCTTACCCTTTTCCACGTTTGTCTCTTCTTGTAAACTTAGACAACCTGTAGATGGCCCAGTTGTTTAGTTGCCTGGGGGTCATGCCTTTACCATTGTCGATAACCACAACACAGTTTTTTACAGATGCATCATCTACATACTGAATACAATAAAATATATTTGTACTTAATCATCGGAACACTTTATTCATTAAATGTAAAATAATTTTTAAAAAAGCTTATATTTTTAAATGTTTTAATTAAACAAGAATTTTTTAATATTGAGCAAAAGTAAAAAACAGCAGTGCAATTTTTTTTCATTATATTTAAGGGCAAGAAAAAATATGGTACCAATCGCAGTTCAATTTTTCGAGAGCCATCATTAAAAGCTGTAGCGGCAAGTGAATTGTCAATAAGTTCAGCAAAAGCAAAAGCTGCAAGAAAATAAAATTCATATCAGTAGTACAGATTGATGGTGATACATTACACTCTAGGAAATACTTTAACATAGCTATATTTGATACTAGTACTGAAAATGTTTTGGAATGAAGGATTTAAAAATACTTACGTAAAGGATTTTGTCCTTCAGATGCATAGTATTCGTACATACCACCCTTAACAATGGTATCATAATGTGGAAGGTAGTCAACCCTTTCATGAGCAGGAGCACACAACTCTTGATTAATCTCATTGAGAATATACAGAGTATCTCCCCTTTCAATGTACTCTATAAAGGAATAATTGTTATTTTTATTAAATTAAAATTCTTAAAAACAATTTCTTACTGCAATAAAAGTTATCTGAACGTTGTTCAAATAAATAATAGGTAAAACAAAAATAAAGGAAAATATTTAGTATTATTTTCATTTATTTAATTACAAGTACAATTAATATTCAACTGATAAATTATGTAAATAATGCTTACAACTATAAATGCATTATTCTAATAATAACAAACTTATCTCCTTTACCAAAAGTATCATCATTTTTTATCTCTTCTCTGCTGGTTGTTGCAATAATAAAATCATCTGTATCCAAATTCAAGACCTGAAATTAAATTCAAAGTTTGATTTAGCTTAGGAGTAAAGTTTTGTTTTTTAACAAATCACTAAACCAATGTCATAGAATAAATATTTAGCCCTATTTTATATAGCCTAATACACATTTTTAAAAATGTGTAAAATTAATATAATATTTGCTAACACCACTATCAATAATTTGTTGCGAACTACTATTATATTTTTGTATTTTGACTTATTTAACAACACAAGATGACAAAGTATTAGTAAACATATAGATCTAGGTAACAATATATTAGATACTCATTACTAGTCTCAGTTATTTAAACATTCTTGAGACACATACTTTTTTTCATAATCAATCAAGTACTTTAATGATAGATAATAGATATCTAGATCTAAATGTATTGTAGGCTAATTATTCTGTTGGATTTTTTTGTTACCAACAATCAACAAACTATATGAAATATGATAACGGGAATGGGTGGTAGGACTGAAGAATTAATTAATAATGTTAAAATAATTTCCTTAGGTCTATTTGACATTTGAATAATGTTTAAGATATCAGATACGCTTAACTATTTATTTATTTTAATAAGTAAATCAATCAGGCTGTGTTTACTGTTACTGTCATTTTATAACTGTCTATTTGTAAGTTTCCTAGGCCTACTGTTTGCCCTTATTATTAGTAAATCAGTAAATCTATTTAACTATTAGATCAAGAGTCTACATGAGATCTATAATAGATATAGATCTAGATCTATCTAAGTGTTGAGAAGAGTGCTGGCAGTGACTGCCATTCTTCAGTGTCTATTTTAGTATTGAGTCTATTTCAGTTCATATTTCTGCTAAAAAAAACTGATGTTGATCTCTCGGATCTGCATATCAAAAACAATAGACTCAGACTTATAGATCTAGATCTATGCGTACAGTAAATATATCTACCTCTTTAACTCTTGCTTTAAAATCTTTAAAGGTCAGGACCCCTGATAATGATAGTTTAACCTCTGGAGCAGCATCAGTTCTGCGGTCATAAATAAAAACTTCGAGGTTTTCATCTTCTTGTGTACTGGGCGCCGCCATCTTGATTTGAAAATAGACGAGTTTTTCCTTGCTATCTTTTTAGTCTAGGTTTAGTGTGGTTGTAACATTATTAGGCCCTTGGTCCTATTTGGACAAGACCATGTAAACCACACTCTAAGCGTTTAAGACGTATTCTTTCAACAACTTAATTAAGGAGCTTTTGTCGCGTGCGATTCGGTAGAATCTTTTAACTACCATATGATTTTTATTTTATTTTAAAAGACTTGTGAGTTTAGGACATGAAAATGCCCGGATGTCTTTTCCTCGACTGTTCCACCTGATTCAGGCATGAAACCAAAGAGTTTTATCGAAATTAGACGCAACGATGTGGTAGCAATGAAAGGGTCTTTGAGAAAAATGTTTTTATTATGGCTAATAGAAGTCTTCCTGAAAATTTAACCTACTCTTAATTCGAACACTAAGTTAGGACACCAGTCTATCAATAGGCCTACTAACACGAGTTTGTTTAAATTATTTTAATTTAAATATAATGAATTATTAAACCTGGTCTAACCTTATTTTGTAATCTTTGAAAGCCTATTATAGTGAAAGTTAAGTAATCTAAACCTTAACTACGTCATACTTTTTTTAAAAAAAAACGACGTTTACCTCTGTCGTTATCACACCCACACACAACACAAAAACATAGGGCTACCCGGCTACCCCTTTCCCTTTCCAATATTGTCATTACACCTTAGCCAACAACCTCCGCCCCCCCCCCCCCCCCAAATGCAGCTGTTGTTTAATAAACACAACTTCGATTTCAATTCTAAAATAAGCCTGTATACTGAGCTCGGTCAACATTGAGAACATTAAACAAGTTTTTTTTTTTTTTTTACAAAAACGCGAAATAACAGCTAAAAATCAGTTTCTTACATCGCATTTTATGAACCCCCCCCCCCCCACCCCATTCGGTCTTGGCGGTCAGTATTCTGTGACATCGGGATATGAAAGGATAGTATGGTCAGCCGCCTTGGGTTTTCCCTAACGTAAGTCAGGTACCACCCACCGGAACCTAAAATCAGAATGTCAGTTTGGGAAGTGAAAAGTACTTTGTAGAAGATCATTGCTGCCTTTGGTCTATAGATCTATTTTGTTTTAATACGAAGTTTATCATTACTCGTATCGTATAAATAACATAGGCTATATGAACATTTACTTAGGTTTTATTGAGTTGAAATTATTTTGTTTGTTTCCTACTACAAACTTCACATGTATGAAATTACACCAGGTTTGCATAACCTGGTTTATTTTAAAACCATGTCATATAAAACAAATAAATGTTGCTATTTTATTGCTTTTTTATCTGTTGCTGATAATCCAACTCATGTCGCTGTTGTGAACAGATGTATCGATTAAAATATTAATATTGAAGATTAAGAGAAAAAAATCTGTTGATGTAAGTCATGGAGGATTATTGATTTTCTGATTGCTCGCAGTTTATCATAAAATGGGCCACCCACCCCGCGTAGATAATCCGACCTTACACTACCCATTAGTTATATCTAGATATATATGACGTCAATTAAGGAAACCATTTACGCATTATTGACACTCTTTTAATTATTTGATTACATATTTGATGTTACCGACAGTGAACTTACTAGTTGGGGGTCATCCATAAATGACGTCACGCTTTTTTGGACGATTTTACCCCCCCCCCCCTCAACCTACAACCCCCCTCGAAATTGCAGTTGAATTTTTTTTAAACATCGATATTTTTTTTTCAAAATCTTGTCTAAACTATTACAATTTATTAAAACAGTTATCTAAAACGCGAAATAACGTCTAAAATTTCTTTTTTTTCTAACATTGCTTTTTTATAATGCAAAAATGTGACGTCGCAACATCTGAACCCCCCCCCCCCTCCCCCTCATCACACATCGTCACAAAATTACGGACCTTCCTCCCCCCTACGAGTGTAACGTCATTTATGGATGACCCCTTGTTTGTATATTCAATTACTTTGTTTAAAGCAAACTCGATTTACTGAGAGCTAATTTAGTTGTTAGTTTATTCAATTATTTTATTGCAAACGATGCTATCCCATCTGTACGGTTTGCCTTAAGTCTTTGGTGGACATTTTGTCTGGCCATCTTTAAGGCAAGGATTTGTCGTAGACAACTATTTGTGAGATGATTACAGAAGCACAAAAATATTTTAATTACTATTTCCCAAAGGTGATACTACATCTAGTGGAAGTTTTGTCTGGACATTTTAAGGATTTAAGAAAAAAAAAACATTTCTAGTATGTCGATGTAAAAATAAATATGAAACAACTCGAGCTCAAAAGCTAAAATAAATATACTTTTTTTTTGTGGTCTCCCTTTGAACGCAATCTTATATTTTTACATAATGAACTTACTTTGCTTTAAGCATTGGATTGAGTTTTAGTTGTAAAAAGCTGGCTTCATTTTGTTTATATATATATATATATATATATATATATATATATATATATATATATATATATATATATATATATATATATATATATATATTAGCCCTTTTAAACCTCGCGGTCTGTGGTGCAGATGTAGTAGAGCTCAAGTGTCAGCCCTAGGCCCAACCGCCTTTACGTTCCCTGATGTGTCAGGTACTCAACAGAGCTGGTTGGACTCAAGGGACGTCTTAAGGACTCGAGTTTGAGATCCAAACTCGAGTCTTTCGAGTTAAAAGTTGTGCACTTTACCGTCCGACCACACCTTCCCATTTACTTCCCTATAGATTTTAATAATCTCAAAAAAATAAAATAAAAAAATAAAATAAAAACAGCTCTCATTGATAATGTTAATTGTTATTGCTTATTAAACATATATTTCGCTGTATTTATAACATATTTGTTGGAATCCTGGTCAAACAAGACTGCTAGACGTGAAATAGGGTCAGGTGTCTCGTGGGCTGTCATATTCATAAGTTTTTCATGCAATCGACAGCGGCGAAATGTGACCGACAGCGGCGAAGCGTGGGCTGGGCAGAAGGGAAGGTCCTTCTTGGAAGGCAATCTTTTTCTAATGGCAATCTGTGGTTGGGGGCGGCAAAGCACGTCCACCGCCCCACCCGCACAACCAAACTGAAATTGAAAAAATAATTTTGATATAGAAAATATATACTTTAACCGGTGCAACCCCCTCCCCCTCAAGAAAATTTAAATGGCCTCCACTCGGAGAAAAATGTCTAAGGGAGGGAGTGAGTGTGGTGCAGAGTTTCTTTCAAACATCTCTTTAAAGGGGGGGGGGGTGGAGGTGGGGGAGTGGGTCAGTGTTTCCCTCCCCGAAGTACGTCTACCGCCCGCAACCCACACAACTAAATAAAGAAAATATATAGGTCTACTTTAACCAGTGGCCACCCTCCCCTCCTCTCCCCTGAAAATTCAGGTTCTTTGGGAATCACATGTAGGTAAAGCCTCCCTTATTCTCTCTCTCTCACTCTCTTTCTCTCTCAAACACACACATACACAAACATATTGCATTCCACCCAGCCCACAAAAACCCATAAAAGCTAGATCCGCAAGGGTCTAGGACATTACCACCCCCCCATCACTCCGCCATTTCTCCCCCGGAGTCATTACACCCGTGACAATTACCCCCCCCCCCCCGGCATGCTGAAGAACACTGACCCCAACCCAAAACCCAACAACAAAACAATAGCTAACCCTTACCACGACATTGATCCTAACCCCAACTCTAAACCAACATCTAACCCTAACTTATTCGGTGGGGAGTAATTGACGTGGGGGGGGGGGGGGTTAATGTCGGGGGAAATGTCCGGGGTGTGTGTGTGGTGGCGGGGGGGGGGGGGGTGTAATGTCCTGCTCCCGATACGCCCATGGGTACAACAAACATACAAACCATTATCATACCTTAAACGACTTCAAACAGCACAGTAACAAATTGCCAAACCATCAACCCAACCTTTTACGTCACATTCGCATTCTATATTAACTTATAGAGTTAATAGAGCACACATAATATGTCATGATATACAAATCACTAGCCTATGCTGCTTTAGTTCTTGTACCACGCATCCAGGAGTTCAATGAACTAAGTGAGTACACAAAAAACAGACAGCGCGCGGCTAATTTTTCCATGACACCGCCATAGCTGTTTGTTTATTGTGACGAGAAAACTAGGTCAGGAAACTCCCATTAAGCTGTGACGTCAGCAGCGTTATTTTCCCTTCGTCCATATTTTTAAAAATAATATTTGTTTTGTTTTTTTAATTTGAAGCGAGTTTTTAAAGAACTGAAATATAATATGAATAATAAAAATAATAAATTAACCGGGAGTGATCTCCCCTAAACTTTCTCGAATATTCTTATCTTATATAAAATAACAGGAGATGGGAACTCGGGCTATAGACATGATTTATAATCCATTTTAAATATTTAAAGTTTTAAAAATATAATAAAATCTCGTAGACAAATTAATTGCACACCAAGTGAACGCCAAATAAAAAAGCGCATAATAGTGCGCAATATTATTAGTACTTTTAAAATTTACATTAGTTTTTTGAGAAATCGGAAGTAGCGTAAATTACTACTTCCAGTCAACGGAAATTACTCAAAATTTAACAGAAGGTAGAGAATTAGATCTTTTACTTACATTTGAAATTTCATTTATCTATCTGAAATAGTACTCAAGTTATAGGCTTTTGAAAAATTCAAAGTAGGAAAAGTACCACTTCCGGTTATCGGAAATCGCTCAAAAGTTGATACGGATCTACGATTTTGATAAAATATATATATGAAATTTCATCAACCTAGCTGTAACGGTACTTAAGTTATCGTGTTTACACACGGACACATAGACAGACAGACAGACACACAGACATACGGACAAGATTGCAAAATTATGTTTTTCCGTATCAGTGAGGTGTAAAACGTCGAGATTTGTAAAAATCTCGATTTTTTTTTGCACGATTACAAGACTTTCTCTATACTTCGTATATACGAGAAAGTAAAAACTAAATATTTTAATTTTTCTTACAAAAAACAAAATAATAATAAT